TCTTCTTCTTTATTTTCTTCTTTATTTTCTATTGTTTCACTTTCTTCAATATATTCATATTCATATTCGTCTTCTTGACTTGAATATTCTTCACTCTCATTACTATATGGAGAGTCTTCCCACTCAATTTCATTTGGATCAAGACATGAAACTTCTTCAAAATCCATTTCTTCTTCACTAAAATAATTGGTGTCATCATCTACTGTTTTATCTTCGTCTGTATCATTTTTCTGTTTATTAACCCATTCATAGTCTTCTTCACTTAACTTTTCAATCCATGTGTCATAATATCTAACAATATATTTATTATTATTAATACATGCCAAACTCCTTATTTCATTTTTTACTTCTTCCATACGAACTTCTCCTGTTGTGATAAGCACTTTAATTGCATATTTTCTGTCTAATTACTTTCTGTAATACTTTTATCATTATTACAAACTTCTTATCATCATTTCTTACTGCTGAATATACTTTTCCATATGACCCACTTCCTATTAACTCAATTTGACTAAAATCTTTTTGAAGAAACCGTGGTCCTTCACTCATTTCTTTCACTTGTATTACTTTTTAGTTCTTTGTGAAAACAAAAACATTAAATTCTTATCTTTCTTTTAAATTATTCTTGTCCTTCATAATATCCTTCTTCATATCCTGTTCCATATTCTTGATAATATTGATTATTATATTGAATAAGTGTTTCAATCATCTCTTCTTCTTTGCTTATTCGTTTTTCTAATCTTTGAATAATATTCTTTAATTCTTCTATTTCCTTTTCTTGTTCTATAACTTTACTGATAAGTTCTCCTGTACTTTCTCTAAAACAACTTGTTTTTCTTCTTGGTGGTGGAAGTGTAGGTACTTTTGTTTCTATTTCTTCTCTATTGTTGTTTTCTTGTTCAGTTTCTTCTATTATGTCTTTATTGTTATTTGTTGTTTTATGTTCTTGACTTTTTCCTAGATTTGGATTTTCTTTTCTTTTATCTTCTTCTTTGTCTATAATTGCTGTTAATACTCCACTTGCAATATTCCCTCCAATAAGTTCATTTGATTTATGTTGTAGTCGATTTGGTTTTGGTGGAAGATAACTTGGTTTTGGTGCTTCTGTTGTTGGATGTGTTAATCCATTATTTTGTGACATAACTTTTTGAACTTGTTCTTTAACTAAACTTGTTCCATCAGTAACTTCTGGTTTAGTTGATTTATGTGAAAAAATCGTTTGTCTAGGTTTACCTGCATTAATTCTTTTTTGCCTTTCAACCACAACTTTTTGAATTTCTTCTGTAACTTTTTCATAAGGTGCAGATGGATGAGGAACTACAGCTGGATAATCTGGTGGATTAATTCCTGCTCTTAAATTTATTTCTTCAATCTCCTTAAAAATATTTTGATATGAATTAATTAAAGTAGCAAATCCTTCAATAACTAGTTTAGTATTTTCCATTTCTTTCATTGCTTCATGAGGAGGTGCTCTACAAACAGTAGGTCCAAGACATGTTCCTAAATTATATGCTGTCATTTGTGTTTTTTCAACATTTTTAACAACTTCTTGACAAAAATAACATAAATACCATAACGTATTTTTATTTACATCAGGTATTTTATTTATTAATTTTTTTGCTTCTTTTTCTTTTACTCCATCTTTTAATCTTCCAAGAACAACAAATTCATTATAATATTGAAATGGAATTAATGGGTCTGGTAATTCTCTTAAATATTCTTTAATTATAGCAGCTGCACATGCACACTCTTTAAATTCTTCAATTACAATGTCTTGATCTCCATCTAAAATTGATTTAACTCTTCCTACAATTTTATATGATGCACTTGTTCTAAAAATTCCTTCACTTTCTGCTCCTTTATTTTTCTGAAGATATTCAATAGCTCTATATATTGGAATAGGATATCTCCATGCTGACTTACTCACTGCACATCCTAATGGATATTTAAATGTTCCATACACTTTTGTTAATAATGGTAATGTACTCATCCATTCATCAAATTCAATTTGTGATGGACAACAAAATGTATATACTTTATCATAAAATAATTCAAAACAAAGATTTTCTTTTCCTTGTGGAATTGCTTTATTTCTTTTATTAATATGAATATTAAAAATTGCTATACTTAAATCAATTTGAAATTTTGGTTTTGATGCATTGTCTATTAAATATAAATGTTGATCTTTAGATGTCACAATTTTTATTTCTTTTGTCTCAAATTTCTTATTATATAATACTTCTATTGTTCCTGATGTTTTAGTCCTATTGTGTTGATTTCTTTTTTATACTCTTTGCTATTACACAATCTATTCTTACAAACATTTTCTTTTTGCTCTTACTCTTTTTAAGTTCTTTTTCAAGATGTCTCTTTTTTCTTCCTTCTTCTTATTTTATTTCCTCTTTTTCTTTTTTTAATATGTTTTTGAATTGTGTTTTTCTCTTTCTTTTTGTTATATATCTATAAATATATTGTTCCGTAGAAAGATTAACAACCAAATCTTGATTTTAGTTGACCTTAATGCACAGAAGAAGAGATGTTGGGATTGATTTCACAAAAAAGAAAATCACTAATACAAATATGCTCAAACAATTAGTTAAGTATATAAAAGCACAAAAGTTTCTTGGTAGTGACGTTAAGTCTTTAATATACCAAGACAACGGATTAACTGACATTTGTGCTTTTAACCTATTTAGTAATCTTCAGGGTTTGTTCTTCTTCTTAACAATAAAAGTCAATAAATAATGATTATGTTAAATTGTTAAAACTAATGAAGAATAGTTATTGATATTAGTAATAATAAAATTGAAAGCATCCCTAAAAATCTAACAACCATTCAACAACTTAAATCATTAAATTTGGCACAAAATAGAATAAATAGTGGAATGGATGTGTTGTCCAAATTACCATTACTTACATTTCTTGACCTTTCTAATAATAACATTAAAGAATTTGATTTTGGAAATATTTCACAATTAACATCACTTGGTTTGTTTTTATTTGAAGGAGAAAAAAAGTATTAATTGAAGTAGAAGTACTTAAATTAACAAATAATGAAATTCATACATTTGATTATAGTAGTTTAAAGCCATTAAAATCATTAAAAGAATTTTATATTAATACAAATTATATTGAAGCACCTGTTTTTACTGAAACAACAATTTGTCTTCTCTTTCCATCACCGTTTTTCCAATTAACACCTAACCAAATTGATGAACGTCTTTATTTAGGGTCATTAGATTCTACAAGAAATCGAGACATTTTAATAGAAAGAAATATTACAGGAATCTTATCATTAGGAGTTAAAGCTATTGTTGTCTCCAAAAAAATCCAAGTTGAATATATTGATATTGGAGATTTAGCAAGTGAAGCAATTGATCAATATTTTGCAAAATGCTTTTCATTTATGGAGACAATAATTGAAGGAGGTGGGTCTATTTTAATTCATTGTCATGCAGGAATATCTCGATCTAGTACTGTTTTAATAGCATATTTAATGTACAAAAAGATGTGGAGGTATAAAGAAGCTGTTACATTTGTTAAAAAGAAAAGACCAATTATATCACCAAATACAGGATTTGAGAAACAACTTCTAAGTTTTGAGCATAAATTATTTAATAATGGAGAAGTGGACAATGACGGACAAGAATCAGAAGAATAAATAAGTGTATATTAATAAATAAGCGAAGAGAGAAGTATTTAATTCTACTGATCAATTCAATTTTTCGGAGATTCTGTTTCTTTTCATAAAGATTTTCTTTCTATCTATCAGATTTAATCTTAAAATCAACAAACAATGTCATTTCATTTTATTGTCCTTTTTACTACCCAAAAAATTCAAAAAGTAAAGAAATGGAAAGATGGAATAGGAATATATTCTGAAGATAAAAAAAAATTTGAATTATATGAAGAAGTTAATGGTAAGAAGGTTTGTTAATATAAAATAATATCATATAATACTTATTTGACATTATTAGCAATTAATAACAAGTGAAACGATTAAAAAAACACCAAGTGTTGGTGATATAATTGAAGTTGATAAATTTCTCATTGACATTGACTCTGTACAATCAGAAGAAACTAATCCCCAAATTGACAAGACTAATGCACATAATACAATACCTATTTGTTCAAGAGTTTGTACTGGCATGAAGAAAAGAAAAACCAGTTTAAAACCACTACTAACAACAACACCAAGAAGTTCAATAATAAAGACTGACAAACAAAAAAATAGTATTAAAGAATTAATTGACATATTTGAAGGAAAAGAAATAAGTCAAGAACAACATAAGAAGATAAATAAACAAACAGGTTGTATTAAAAAAGAGTTAGGAAGGAAAGGATTTAAAGTACCAAAAGCAATGGAAAAAATTGAGTTTCCTAAAAGTTTAATTGATAGTGAAGAAAAAATAGAAAGAATCAAAAGAAATAAAGAGTCAAGTCAAGGGATATACACTAATATTGGTAAATATGTCACTGATATGAATAATATTGTAGTTAATGAAATAAATTATAGACTAGCAGAAATTGGACAAATGTTTTATACAATAGTTGATACACAAGCCATTGAAATGGGAGGTAAAGGAAGAATAAGTATTTGTTCACATGGAGTTGCAATAAGACAAATATGTCACAAAGAAGGAATAAATAAAGGAAGAGGATTTTATTGTTGTCCAGAACATAAATGCAAAGCATTTCAATGGGATAAAGAAGGAATAAATAAGACAGAGTTAAGATATAAATTACCAGAAGCAATTGATCGTAAAATTGAAATGAAAGAATTGAATGTAAAAATATTTGAAGAACAAGGGATTATTGTTTTTCTTGATGTTGAAGTTTTTCAAAGTAAGAAATTAGTACCAACACCAGAAGATCCAGAAAGTACAAAAACAATATATTTTATGAAAATTAATGATATAAGGAAAGTTAAGTTTGTTAAGAAATAGATAAAGATAAATAAACATAAATAATTTAAATAGAGAATTAAAAAAAGATGATTTATGGATATTATTACCTCAAGAATATCCTTATTCATTAAATTCAAAAATTTATATTGTAACATCATTATATCATGGACCAACTAAAGATGGACTAATTGGAATTGAATTTATTACACCAACACCAACAAATTTTAAAAGAATAAATTGTATTGCATTACGTGGATTTTCAGGATCAACAGAAGTCTTGATACTCCAAACATTAGTTCAATTATCAATTACACCTATTCATTTACTTTCTAGTCTTATGCAATATTTGATATTTCATAAATTTACACCAACAAAATATCAACCACTACCAGACATTCAAATAATTAAAGAATATAACTTAAATAATGAACAAATTCAAGTCATTGAAGAAGTTATTCAATCCCTTCAAGAAAACAAACCACCATTAACTCTTGTTCATGGAGTTTTTGGATCAGGAAAGTCACATCTTCTTTCAGTGTTATGTATTTTATTAGCATCTCTAAATTATAAAGTATTAGTTTGTGCATCAACTAATGTTGCAGTTGATAGAGTTCTTGAAAGTTTATTAACAAAAAATTATAAGTCATTCTTTCGTGTTGGGTCATTAAAAAAAATTAGTAAACAAATATTACCATTCACTCTTTCAGAAAATGATGGATTAAATGATCTTAGAGAATTAAAAAAAGAAAAGTTATTAACAAATGAAGAAAGAAGAATTATTGAAAATGAAATTAATGAAAGAAAAAGTGGAAGTATTGAAAAAAGGTCTCATGATATAAAAACAGCCTCTATTGTTGGTGTTACATGTGCATCTTCTACAAATCCAATTCTTAATAATTCCTATGATATTATTCTTCTTGATGAAGCTACTCAAACTATTGAACCTATGTTACTTATTCCTATTCTTAGATTTAATCCAAAATGTATTGTTTGTGTTGGTGATCCTATGCAACTTGATCCTGTTCTTCAAACTGACCATCTTTCTGCTACTCTTTTCCAAAGACTTTGTTCTTTAGAAATTCCAATTATGTTAAAAGTTCAATACAGATGTTGTCCTCCTATTAGTAATATTGTTAATAGACTCTATTATAATGGTAATTTACAAAATGGTGCTAATGTTTATAATCAACATTCTCTCATCCCTTCAAGTAATGAAATTATACTTTGTTATCATGACATTGATGATGAAAAAATTCTTGGTTCGAGTTATTATTCTCATTTCGAGCTTTGTGTTGTAAATCAAATCATTTCTATTTTATCTCAACTTCTTATTCCACTTAATCGTGTCGGTGTTATTTCCTTTTATAAACAACAATGTGAATATCTTGCTTCTTCGATATCTCAAAAAGAAATTACAGTAGCAACTATTGATGCATTCCAAGGTGCTGAAAAAGATATTATTTTACTCTCTTTCGTTAGAAATAAACATTCTTCCTTTTTAGAATCTGCAAAACGTCTCAATGTTGCTCTTACTCGTGCTCGAAATAACTTAATTTTCATAATGCACAAAAACATCTTACAAGATGCTTTTATCCAAAATCTCTTCTTAAACACTAATGTTTCTTACATTGATTGTGACGTTCTTCTTCACTCAAAACAATTCATTTTTGAATAATCTACTTTTTCTTTGTTAATTCAGTAGTTTATTATGTTTCTAATGTTTGTATTGAACTTACTTCTTCTGATTTTATAATTTTCTCTTTATTCTGGTTTTGTTCTGTTGTTGATTATTTTATTTTCATTTATGGAGAAGAAGTTTACATGAACCAAACCACAAACCAATTATAAAAATGATAATGAGTTGTATTTGCATCATTATCTAAATGGATGTTTGTCAATACTGAATGAATGACAAAACAATATTTAAGGGTATATAACGATGTTTAAAAATATGGTTGATGGAAATGATAATATTATCTTTGAAATGTTTAAGAAAAAGACAAGAAATTGAAGAAATAAACCAAATAACAAATATATGATAAGAGAAAGAATCATATTGGATAATAACATAAGAATAATGTATTAAAATAGAGAAAGAATGCTAATACACAAAAATGAAATTGATAAGATGTGTATAACCAATAAACAACCAATGAGAGATAACTAAGCAAAAATAATAAAGACAGAAAAGAAGAAAAGAGAAAGACTATGTAAGAAAGATGAAAGAGAAATAAATGAAATAGAAA